AAGGGCTGTCTGCGCTAGCCGTCCCTAATTTAGCAGTATAAGACTAGAGGAAATGCAGCTAGTCATTACCACCCACCGCCAACGCTTAAGCTACTCTTTTACCAACGAATAGTGGGATTGATTGCCACTTTATAACGCCCCCGCGGCTGAAAGGGCGAGCATGTTTGGTGTGAGTAGGATTCGAACCCGCGACCCACAGATTGCGAGTCGAGCGCCCTAACCATCTGGCCATGCCGGACCTTAAAAGTCATTGTGAAACTTCGTTTCATAATTCCTAGTGGGTAGATGAAGTGATATATGCTTAAATTAACAATATTCATTGGAGGCATTTCAAAAACTTCACCTTTCTTAAAAACAACAATAAAGAAATGTGGTTGCATAGAACTAGTCTCTTGGAGTTTTTACATTTATGTATTATGCTTGAAAACAATGTAAAGCATATATTAAATTATCAAAATATCAAATCAGTGTAATTCTTTAATAAACTTGAAATACAGACATAGACAAAAAAATCCGTGATTATGCATATCAGTGTCATACCTGACTGAAGATATTCCTGTCTGTTGCACATCTTAACAATTATTTGACAAAAGTACGCTTATAACTGGCAAACTGCTGGACCGATTGTCACAGAAACTGGCAGGTATTCCTAGAACCCCTGGGGAGTGACACAGATAGATCGGTGTTCGGATATCACCCCTGAGGTCCCTATGTCTTCTCCGTGTGTTGTGTTTGCTCATAATTGGCGAACTGCTGGACCGATTGTCACCAAACGTGGTATGTGCACTTAGGATCCCTCGGAAAGTGAATAGAGGGTTCGGCGTTTGTATTTTACTGCTCTATTCTACCCCCGAAGTCCCCTATGCTTCCACATGCGTTGAACGGGTGTATAAGCTATTACAGTATATATTTGAAGAGATTGTTCTATGTATGTAAAGGGAATTGTTTTAATGCTAAGGGAGCACAGACTTTAAAAACAAAGTTAATCTACGTGCAAATAATACAAAGTGTATTTTACGAGGTATTTACTCTATATACACGTAATAATCAAGAACGTCTGATCACAAATACGCCAACTACATAAATCCAATATATACACAGTAGTTTTTAATATACACGTAGTTGCTTTTTCTATTACGTATTATCCATATATAATAGCCCATACTTGTATTGTGTAAAACCTTCAAGTACAGAAGATAAGTGTCCCTATGTAAGGTATTTAGTTTTTATGTATACGTATATATATGATACACTCTTTAAATACAAGTATAGTTTTAATGTACAGAGCATAGCACATTGTTTAAAATTACTGTTCTTGTAAGGACTAATGTCCGAGAATGTCCATGAGAAAAATTTAGATGTAAAGTAATTAATATGTAAAGCAAAAACATTTTATTAACAACATAACTCAGGGAACAAAATAAAGATGTATTATAAGCCAAACTGTCAACAAACTTGCATACTGAAAATACATGTCAAGAAATGTACTAAAAGAGAACATTTGTTTAGAGACATCAGCTTGAAATGAAATTATACAAAGATATACAAAATTATACAAAGCCAATAAATATACTAAAATATAATATAAGTCAGCATATTCATTAAAACTGGCAGTATTTCAGCCAAAGGAGATAGAAAAACCTTGATGATAAGATGAGACTTAAATAAGAATGTGTAACGTGTAAAACTGGATGATAAGACGAAACTTTTAAATAGAAATGTGTCGCATATAAAACTGGATGATAAGACGAGACTTTTAAACAGTAATGTGTAACATGTAAAACCGGTGGATAAGATAAGACTTAAATAGAAATGTGTAACGTGTAAAATCGGATGATAAGACGAGACTTGAACAGGACTGTGTAACATGTAAAACTGGATGACAAGATGAGAGTTAAATAAAAATGTGTAACGTGTAAAACAGGATGATAAGACGAAACTTTTAAATAGAAATGTGTCGCATATAAAACTGGGTGATAAGACGAGACTTTTAAACAGTAATGTGTAACATGTAAAACCGGTGGATAAGATAAGACTTAAACAGGAATGTGTAACATGTAAAACCGGTGGATAAGATGAGACTTAAATAGAACTGTGTAACGTGTAAAACCGGATGATAAGACGAGACTCAAACAGGACTGTGTAACATGTAAAACTGGATGACAAGATGAGACTTAAACAGAAATGTGTAACATGTAAAACTGGATGATAAGACGAAACGTTTAAACAGTAATGTGTAACATGTAAAACCGGTGGATAAGATAAGACTTAAACAGGAATGTGTCGCATATAAAACTGGATGATAAGACGAGACTTTCAAACAGTAATGTGTAACATGTAAAACCGGTGGATAAGATAAGACTTAAACAGGAATGTGTAACATGTAAAACTGGTGGATAAGATGAGACTTAAATAGAAATGTGTAACATGTAAAACTGGATGATAAGATGAGACTTAAACAAAAATGTGTAACATGTAAAACCGAAACGAAAACTACATCTGTTGGAACTGCTTGTCTCTACTTGAGTGAATAAATTCGTTCAGTAAGAAAAATCGTCTAAGGACTAATCCGACACAATTGAGTTCCTGCACCATTTTCATAAATATTTCTCCGTGAAGAATCTTTGTGTAACGACATTTCTGTTGTTTTCAGTAATTTACCAGAAGCGGTTACGGAGAGAGAAACGGTCTCGAAGAAAAGTTCAGGTGCAACTGGAAGTCGAGGCTAAGAAACGAACACACTATGAGGACGCTCTACGTACTTCCTCCGCAGAAACTCTACGTTTGTTGAACGGTAAGATAGCTGACAGAAACTCTACGTTTGTTGAACGGTAAGATAGCTAACGGAAACTCTACGTTTGTTGAACGGTAAGATAGCTGACAGAAACTCTACGTTTGTTGAACGGTAAGATAGCTGACAGAAACTCTACGTTTGTTGAACGGTAAGATAGCTGACAGAAACTCTACGTTTGTTGAACGGTAAGATAGCTGACAGAAACTCTACGTTTGTTGAACGGTAAGATAGCTGACAGAAACTCTCACGATTAAGTGTAAAAAGAGATATAATTTGTTGGATTCTCAACTGAGTTTTACTGTTTTACTTCCTTGGAGGTTATTTATTTTGTAAATTATTTGCCATTTGGTTCACGACGAACATAAGTACTGTAATCGTGTGTGAAAAATGTTTGATCATAATTTTATTTGAAGTTTGTTTTTAGATTATTATGTCATATATGGAAAATATTACGAGAGTGTACTTAAGGAAGTAGCTGGAGAGCAATTTAAATAGTTTATCCCTGTAAAAATTATCAATCTATCTTGTCGCATAATCAGGTACAAATAAGTGTTATTTACGTTGAAATTTTACCCAAATATTCCTACCATCTGACTTTAGTACCGTTTAGAAGCTCATGTATATAAACATATACTCAATTCACCTTCTGTGCTGATATGCTCGTGTATATGATCTTTTTTATGTGCGTGTTTTCGTAGTTGTCCATTTTTCCTTTCCTTTTTATTTGCCTCAGATTTTCTGTATAAAATTGTTTATGTATGGGGTGATTTATGAATTTCTCAGCCAGAATGTGATTTTTAATTTCTGTGGTTCAACCGTTTAGGAGTGTAATGGCTGTCTCGAACAGCTTGTATTACTGATGATTGCTTCATGGCATAGTGGCGCTACAAAATCATTTGATTTATGCACCTTGAGCGCTTTCTTTTTTACCCGTTTGTCTCGCGCGGTCCGTCGAAGTAGCATCTGCATGTGGAATCCATTCTTAATGTGAAGAAAGCTTATTTGATATCCTTTTAACAGTAGTACTAATGGGATTTCGTCTTGTCAGCTGGCAACTGCAGGAAAATGGCCTGCATGCCTGACAACACACAAATGGGTTGACGTAAAACGATTTAAGAAACCATAAAATGGTAGTCTGTCCGTTAAGTAAGTAACCAGAGATGTCAAAATGTTGACGGACATACACGTATCGGTCCAAATAAAAACTATAGAATTGTTTTATTTTTCTCTTTTTAGTTACCTGATAGTAAGATCAGAGAAAAAAAATGTAATCACGTTCTTGTAGGCTTGGGTTATCTTTTATTTTAAACCTCTTCCTGTTTTTCATCTTACTCCGCTCTCCCCTTTTCAAAGAGCTCAGTTTTTAAGTGATTAAAGTTTTAAGTGATTTTTAGGTGGGCGTGATGCTGGTTTCCAATTTTATTTTATTTTTCCAACCAAGATTAGTTTATGATGTTTTCTGTTAACTTTCCTTTAGTATCACCAATGTCTCAAGCAGACGTATATAGGTAACATTGTTTGTATATGTCTTTTCTTTACTGTCTTAAGTAATATATATATATATATAACTTCGGTGTGGGGAAAAATAGCCTAAAGGATTAACTTTTACCGTATCATGTAACTACACTTTGTTTGCATTGGGTCAAATTATTATACAAACGTTAGTAAATTTTGTTCCATCGTCTGATAATTATTAATTAGAAATGTTTGTAATTTAGATTATTTTTACTCCACATCACAGATAAATTGCTGAAAAAATAGTCAATAAAATATAGGTGCAATTGTTCCTCCTTTTGGTCAGTGGTTCGGTATTGGGGACGGTACCACGCTAGATGGACTGCGCACTGACAAAGTACAGAGATTGGACTCCATAATCAGGGTAGGGAAAGCCTGTGCTTTAGCCAGTGTTAAGCTCCTCTAGTTGTGTAAATCAATCAATCAATATACTCACAGTGATAATAAATGAGTTACACAAAAGAATCCCTTGATGCACATTCATAAAGATAAGGTGGATGCCAAAATATCTTTTGAAGTGTCGTTCTACCTTTACAACTATTTATTTTTATCTATTTATTATTTAATTCTGTTTTTATTTCACTGGCTTTGTCACATATTCCGCCGCGGTAGTTTCCTCTTAACAATACAATGTATGCTGTTCCAGACATTCAGTTTCTAGGCACGTTTTAGTATTTCAGACCTACCTTATAACTCGCACAAGTCACTGCCCGAGAGGCCTTTCGTTCAATACCAAAACTCGTTGGTTAGGCTAAAAGATGAAAGACAAAAGATTCACTGAAACGCCATTTATATGTATATATTATAATACTCCAAAAGTTAACGTTTTTATATCCCGAAAGCTGGCGAAACATTAGAAACCAATAAGATAAAACTGTTTTTTCTTACCTCCTATTTTGAATCCGAAATTGACATATTAAGAATGCGGAAAATATTTGCAGCTTACATGATCTTTATCACAAATTTTAGGCCTACTGATTTCTAATGATTCGCCAACTTTCTGCTTCTAAACCGTAACTTTGTAATATTATATTGCATATGTAAATGATGTTTTAGTATTGTTGGTTCATCTGCGGAATGATCCTCGCACATTCTGTTTACTGCTAGCCGCGCCCGGCATGGCCAGGTGGTTAGTGCGCTCGACTCGCAATCTGAGGGTCGCGGGTTCGAATCCCCGTCACACCAAACGTGCTCGCTCTTTCAGCCGTGGGGGCGTTATAATGTGACGGTCAATCTCACTATTCGTTGGTAAAAGAGTAGCCCAAGAGTTGGAGGTGGGTGGTGATGACTAGCTGCCTTCCCTCGTGTAGCTTTGCACGAAATTCAAAAACAAACAAACAAACAAACTGCTAGCCGCTCTACTTACCGTTATTTTACGCACCGGATTTAACCCTCACTCGTAGAAACTCCCCAAAATCCTTTTAATTATTAAGCTCAATAAACGTCATTCACTAATGAACTTACCAGTGTTTTCAGCGAGATATTTAAGCATATTTTAGTTCCTCAGCTGCACTGTTTTATTTCCGAAAATAACCTCCTGCCTAATTCTTAAGCTGGAATTTGGTCTCAACTTTCTACCCTGGACCAACTCCTCAGGTTGTTTAATGTTACTACCAATACTTTTCATACCAATCGCCCATCTTGTTTTTGACTTTGAGAAAACATATCGTTTGACACTGTGGATTGATCTATAAATTTTGCTAGATAAAACAACTTATTACTCACGTCCGACTTGTAGCTTATATATTGAACTGTTATATCACTGGAGAACACTTTATATAGATCCTTCCACATATCTGAAGGTGTTCCACAAGGTTCTGTTTTATCACCTTTATGTACTCTGTGTTGCAGATGTTCTACAACTTAGCTACCCTCTCCATCTTTCTCGGTAAGCAGATGACACAGTGATATTTGCTACTTGCCCTACCATAATCACATTTAACAGGGTGCTTCAAAAGGCTGTTAATAGTTTTCTCCGGTGGTGTAAAATTGGGCGTCTTGCACTGAGAAGCTCTAAAACTAAAACCATTTAAGCCTTGTCGTAACCCATGCTCTTCAGGCTCACTTTGATCATTTTCCCATTCAGATTTCAAATGTTGTCAAATATCTTTGACTTTGACCAAGATATCATCTGGAAAACTAACTTTACTTCAACCTGTTCCAAAGTTGTCAGCAGAATCAATATCATGCATGGCTGATTGGAAATTGAATTTTCCCCTTTATATTATACTTATAAATCCTTATTGCCTATGGTCATAGTGCACTGGTTTGTTTCCTCTGCATATTAGGATCGTCTAATAGTTATGGAACGTCATACTCTTAGATTGACTTTTCGAATTCGTTTTTCCAGTTCCACCAAAGAACTATACAACTGTATCACCTTTCCTCTCACCATTTCCCAACTTCACAAACTTCGTCAATAATACATACAACTGTATCACCTTTCCTCTCACCATTTCCCAACTTCACAAACTTCGTCAATAATACATACAACTGTATCACCTTTCCTCTCACCATTTCCCAACTTCACAAACTTCGTCAATAATACATACAACTGTATCACCTTTCCTCTCACCATTTCCCAACTTCACAAACTTCGTCAATAATACATACAACTGTTTTTCATTAACAATAATATTATCCTCGCGGACTTGCTGAGTTTGTAAGTTCACACTGGTAGCTCATTCGTATTGAACCTCTCCTTATCATGTATCAGATATTTCTTACCACTAGTGGATGAACCAAATTTTGATGCTGTTCCACTGTAACTTCTACCATCTCATATCTATCCATCTGAAATAATTAAATTTTCTCACTCACAGTTGTTACGTTTTTGCATATTTGACTTGTAATCCTACACTTAATGTCCTCTTCTATTTGTCTTACTTGTTTCTTCAGTATCGTCTCTCCTACATCGATTAAAGATTTTTTCACCTGACCGTCCATACCTCGATAAAGATTTCTACAATTTGGATACTATTCCTGTTCAAAAAGAGGGCGTAACCCTCTGCTGTCCCACAAACTCCCTTACTGGGACCGGAATGAAATGACAAAAAGTAAATAATTGTTGTTTTTACTTTTATTACTGTGAATTTGTTTATACTGTTGTTTACCTGAAGAGGGTGGAAAACTATTTCTCATTAAAATGTCTTTAATATCAAGTCGTGCCGTATATCCATTTAATGTTGTGTATCAAAGTATCTGTTTAGCATTGCATGCAAATATATATAGATTTATAGTGATGAACTATGAAACGTATTTATCTATATCTCCTTTCACACTCAGTTTACCAACATAACAATCTATATGATTTGTCAACATAACAATCTATATGATTTGTCAACAGAACAAACTATATGGTTTATCAACACAACTATCTATATAATTTACCAACAGAACTATTTATATGATTTATCAACAAAACAATATATATGATTTATCAACAAAACAATATATATGATTTACCAACAAAACAATATATATGATTTACCAACAGAACAATCTATATGATTGACCAACAAAACAATATATATGATTTACCAACAAAACAATCTATATGATTTATCAACAGAACAATATATATGATTTACCAACAGAACAATATATATGATTGTAATTGTTCTTGTTTTCCAGAGTCCCTTGCGGAGGAATTGGAAAAAGAGAGATACAATCGAACTGAGAGTGACAGAAAAAATCAAGGTAATATTACACCTGGATATTACAAGTATTTACATATTTATATTTATTTTTTCAAAATTCAAGGGTTCCAATTACGTGTCTTAATTTCAATGTTTTTATCTTTATGTTTAAATAAAAACAAAGAGGATGTCATCAGCTTTTTGAATAAATATTTAAAAATATTTTCATAACAGTTATTCGCGACTATTTTGTTTCCTAATTTTGTGTTTTCCGGAGGCTCAGCGGTATGTTTGAGGGCTTATAACGCTAAAAATCGGGTTTCGATAGCCGTGGTGGGCACAGCACAGATAGCCCATTGCTTTATAGAGGTACTTGCCATATTCGAAACAATTTACATGCCTAAGAACTTAATAGTAATTATTTTATGCTACAATTTAGACACCAAGCTACAAAATCCTATTAGATATCATAAAAAATATGTTTTACTTTTAATACCGAATTGTAATGTGTCAATGGGGAGAGAAGAAGGAAAAAGTGACAGAGAAACGAGCATAAAATTGATATTAGGAGATATTACAATGATATATATAAAGAAAAGAATGTTGAGAAAGTAAAATAAGAAATAGGGGCAGAGAAAGAAGAAAATAACTTAGAACCGTAAGAAAGCGACAGAAAAGACCGAAAAAGAATAATTAAGACGAAATAACGAAAATTAGAAGCGATAAAGAGTAGGAGAAAAGACAAAAAAGAAAACACTGGAAAGGACATAAAAAGTGGCATAAAAATAAGAAAAATATATAATAAGAAATAAAAAATAGAACGAGAATGAGGAAAGAGAAAACAGGAAGAAGTGGGAGTGAGAATACAAAAATAAAAAAGGCGGCATGGAGATGAAGAAAAAGGTGCTGAATAAAAAGACGTTTAAAAGTTAGATATTCTCGAAAAAAAACAACAACAGTTTAGATATGAGCAATTATTACAGACGATGCACTGGCGTTTAAGTATTTTAAGCTGTGTTTTAGTTTTCAGTGTGGATCTCGTGCTTTAATTCGAGCTATTAACAAGTCATAAAACAACACAAAAAAGACTTATAACTCCAGAATATTTTTTTCTGTATTAGTCGAAACGTCAGCTAATAAAAACAAACATTCTTCTGGAATTGTTGGCCATTTTTTATGTTGTTTCATTATGAGTCTTCCTTAAGAAATGGTGGAATTGTTAAAAAGTGCCTTATTTGGAAAGGCTAATGTGTTAACTCTTTAGCTTAATTGGTAGAAAATTAATTCTCTTGGTGTGCGAGAAATCTTGGGTTCAACTCCGATGCTACAAAATTCAAGAAAAACTTTCCTGTAGTAATAAGATTTATTTGTGCGTGTTTATTTCCTGAGGTCGAAGTCGAACCCGGAACCTCTCCATAAACGAAACGAGATAAAAAGATTAACCCTTAAGGTATTGATTGTAACGTATTTTCTCTTAACAATTCAAATTAACACATTTGTATAAAGATCAAAACGCGTAGCTCGACACATGAGTGAGTTACGCCAATCAACGCATCCACGTGTCTGAGTTAGCACACGTAATACAAACTGTCAAAAGTAAATTCTGCTATTGATTTGATACAATGTATATTAGTTTTATAATGGGTCCTTGGAAGGTGTACAAATGGTACCTACGGCCTCCCACATAGAGCTACAATCTATATAGAGTTGTTTGATGAAAAAGACAGTAAAACAGCGGCTTGGGGCTGCCACGATGTACACATTAATCATAACTTTGAAAAGGTAAAACTTGAAAAACACCGCATACTCGATGTCTAGAAGGGAAGCATGTTTAACTTGTTATGTCTAAGTAAATGACTAATGACATACGTATACTAGGAGATATACTTCTATACAAATAGCTTATAAGTGAGAGTAGTGTAGTCTTTATTCGGAAAACTTTAAATTGCATCTGACAGCAAGGGTGTATTGTGTTACTGCTTGGAGGAAAGATAAGATTTTACACATATTTCGGTGTACGCTGGCTCATTTTAAAACGACATAAAATTATTGGACTTGCACTGAACGAAAACTTGAACGTATACCTGAGAAAAAAACCTTGAAGCTTTAGTCTTTCACCATCAATCTCTTAACGTGCAGTCGCAATTGTTTAAGAACGCCTACATTTAACAGTTATATGCAAATTAACAAGCAGGTTGCGTTTTTTTCCCACAATATAATAAGAAGGGAATATTTGGCTAGGTGTCTTTCAAACAGGAGTAGTTTGACTTAAACGCTGTCCTTTCCCATACTTAGGTCTGCTTTGATAATTGAATTAATGACCATTGTAGTTCTCTAGAAAGGGCTTCTTCACGGGTAACTGTGGCTTTATTGTTTAATCGTTTACATTTACTTAAGACGAGAAGACGTGTCAAATACCCTGATTAAGATGATGTTATATCTTCTGTGAAGAGAACGTATGAAATAAGATCGCTTGCTCCATAAATTGTCTTATGTTATTTTGCTCCTTAAAGTGTAATTATTGAATGAAATAAAGTTTGTTATATTGAATAAGTGGACTTAGAAAACATTGGATATGGAAGTATAGTAAATTATTATACATTGTAACTATCATATAACATGTAAATAATTAAAGTAAATTTCAAACTAATGTTTACTTTACATATTCCTAGCAGAATGTCAGATGCTGCTTTGAGAAGAAATCTCCGAGTATTCGCCATGTTTATCGTTGTGTGTATAGAATTCCCACGTTTTACTGGAAGTACTGGATCCTGTTCAACGCAAGAAGTAAATGGAACGATTAGTGAAAAATATATCGGGTAGAGCAACTTTTAACTTGTTTGTCATATGATTATTGGGGTGAACATTACAGTGTTTACTACGCCCTGTTAGTTTCTTTATTTGTGCGTAGAGTAAGCGCGGTTTCATATATCACACCTAGCTGCTATATTATATATATTCTTGTGTATCTGGCAGGAGACCAGAAAATGTTGAATTATCGTTCGTTGGTCAAATGCTCTGATGTAAGATGTATGAAAATATTACACGTAGAACTGTAAAATGTACCTGTCGTTCTTGTTGGCTGATAATAGTTGTTCATTATGCTGTTTTGGAATCAAGGGTTTACAAGAAAGAGTCATTTACTAACAGCTGTACGTCAAAATTATAAAAACGAATATACTCGCGTCTCTGAAATAACAGAGTTGTGGGAATGATCCTTTTACTATCATTAGTTGATTATACTACTTATAGAAGAACATAGAGAGAGAGAGTTGCATAAATATGTATTACACGTTATTGGAGAATGGTTACTCTTAGCCTCTCCTAATCAGGAAATGGAAAAAAAAGTGTATTTGAGTAGAGGTAATTCTCGTTAATGTTCCTCAAAAGATTAATGAAAAGGAAAATCACTAGCATCTCTGAAATAACAAATAGATTGTTGTTTCGAGGATTTTGAGAGAATAAACGTAATAACTAGAGGTAATATCCTGGTCTTATCGTTCTCTGTGACTTAGTTGATCATGTGAAACTGCTTTAATTTATTCAATAAATATACTGCGTTGTAACGAATTACATAAACTTTGTTACTATCACCTTCCACCTGAAAAATATCTGTATATCATTCCTTTTCACACAATATTGTTATAAAAACCTTATATCACTATATTCACAAATTTCACCTTAGAGAAATTATATAATTACTATTCGTTAAACCAGTAAAATAAGCTCCATATCACCACTTTTCTTTATATGACACAAGCTGAAATACCCGTCAAATGACGGGGGAATGTTTAACCTTAATTAAAACAATGTAAGTTTAACCGCAATCGTATATTTCAAGGTAAGAACTTGAACATAAACTTGATCTTATAATTTTAAAATTATAACAACGTTTCTCTATAAACAACATTTGCAGTTTGCTTTCCATCTACCAAGAAATAAAGATTTTGAAGTGATCCCATCCTTGAACACCCTACATCTCATTGGCCATGAGAAAAGCACGGTTGTTTGAAAAACAATCCAGCAACTTGCATTTAGAATATTTAACCTGCCAAGATTGTTTGAAATTGATTCAATAGGGTGGGAGTAATTAACCAACAAAATAGGGTTAAGTTCAATTTTGACCCCTTTAGGACATTCCCCCATAGTTCATAGTGTTTACATACAAATTGTGGTTCAGATTGGCCCAATAGGCTTGGAAGAGTTAGGGTGCAACCAAACACACGTTTCGTATATAGATAAAAGAAACTTGGCAACACCACATTTCTCCTAAAAAACTCCATATCCCCACCTTCCCTCATTTCGTGTAACCTTATTAACACCTTTCCTAGTTTCATGTTGGGGTTGTATTAAGTGTGGGAAGGGTAGTGGAATAATAATCGAATCTAACACTTGGTTCATGGATTTAAAACTAAAATTTTACAAAATAAAAAATTAAAATAATACCAATGCCACAAGCTGAAAACATTAACAAAATTGTAAATAGAAAACATCCATCAAGCTATACTATATATATATTTCTACTATGCCAGATATGGAGCTTTTATTTTTATTTTTGCACATTACTCAAATATTTGTTTTAAATTTACGGTGTTACAGAAAGGTGGTGAAATGGAACTTAGCCCAAAATATTGATGCTACCTTTGGAAAGTACGGTATAACCAAATGTCTTGTGTATTAAAGCAACTCTTATTTTGTGATTTTAAAATCATCCTTATTAAAACATCTAAGATCAAGTAACTTGTTTACAGAAGGGGCAATAAGAAGCATTTTAAATTACTTATTATCTTGTGGCATCTTGTACTGTACTTCAATGTTATGACTGGTTCAAAGTGGAAAACTCATTGGTTTTGTAAAAAGAAACCATGTTCATTGTTTTAAGGTTTGAGAAAGTTTAGGTTTCTCCATTTGTATATTATTTGTGAGCTTTATTTTATTTCTTATAAGTGAAACGTCGTGTTTGTTTTAAGTGTCAACCTTGTTATTCGAATTTTGTTTTACATTTTTTCTAAATAGTTTGGTATGAATATTTTAACGAAAAGTTGTGGTTGAATCAAAAGATTTTCGGGATCATACGTTTTTGCAAGTAAATAAATAAATAGAACGTTATTTTAATAAAAAACAAGAAGAATAAAGATTGGGGAGACATCAAGTACTCAGTGTTTCAGCCGCCTCCATTATCTTTGAAATAAGAGCTTGATCACCTATTCGGTAAAAATAGATTTATTAAACGGTATTCCGAATCCTAGTCATTCCTTTCGATGAAATAAACTCCCTTATCTCAGACAACATGAACGTGACAAGATCCAGTCGAGCTGTGACGTAAAGATTCCCGAACCCGGACCCACATTATTCATCACTGTCAAAGTTTTTGCTTTCAAAAAAGGAGAAAAATACCCAGGCCCTAAGTATATTGATAAAGTGTAATCATGCACATGATTATAACCTGCATACATACCGTTCAAGGGAGTTTTCTAAACTTTCCCTGTCTTTTGAGATACAGCACCCTCTCGCGGTCATGTGACTAACATACCCTAGAATTTAATTTAACCCTAAAGGCAAAAATAAATAAATAAATAAATAAGAAAAAAAAAGGATATAAAGTAAAAATATGCACACTTGTTGAAATAACCAATTGAAAAGTCTTACAAATATATATAAATTTCTTTCATAAGGGGAATTCGAGTAAAAGATAAATTCGCTTAAGCTTATATTTAATTCTATTCCAAGAATCTCGATGTGCTTCTGGTTTTAATATTTATTATTTTATCTTTCAAAATTTGTATTCGTATTTATGGCAAAGCTACTTGCCGCCGTCCATAATTTTGAGATATTGACCAGAGGGAAAGCAGCCAATCAGTTACATCCTACCACCCACCAAACATGCCAAGGAATTGGCTGTTAATTCTTATAACACACCCACACCTTAAAATGCGGAGAATATTTTGCGATACCGCATACGTTTCGAACGCAGCTCTCAAGCTTCGAAATCCAGAATTTACCAATGGGCTAACCCTTGCCCTTCAAAAATTTGACTTCTTGAATAATTAACCGACTTTATGTTATAAAATTACATATCAGTGATGCAGAACCTGTCTAGCTACATGTACCACCGTGTTTATTGGTGTTATAAACAAGTATAACACATTTCGACTCGTTTAACGTTCGGGTAAAAAAAAAAAATAAACTTTAACATCAAACACCTTGAAAAAAGTTTCGTTTCTGTATTCTAGAAAATATAATACAATATTCATATATCATCTATATAATAAACCTAATACAGTTCAGCAATTCGGTTAGTCATATTATTTATGTGATCAGGGCTATGTAGTTTTATTCTATATTTAGTGAAACACTAGAGGTTATTCTTATCGAAGTAGAGTACGAAGTAGGATGTGATTAGTGAAGGAAGAAGTTGTGGGTTGAGTGACATGATAGCGAAGTCGTATAGTTATTTAACAATTGTTGGGTAGTATACGTATATTAAAGATGGCTATACAGGCTATTCTTATCGTTGTGAGAATATCTGAGAGTAGGAAGTAGGATGTGATTATGAAGGAGAAGTTGTGGGGTTGAGTGCATGATAGCGAAGT